CTCTCCTTTTCCTTTTCCTTTTCCTTTTCCTTTTCCTTTTCCTTTTCCTTTTCCTTTTCCTTTTCCTTCCTCTTCTTTTCCTAATTGTTAGGAATAATATACTTTTGGTATTCCTACAGACACTATGGCTAGATATTTCTTTCATCTAGCAAGGTAAATTTCAACTGGGACTAGGGCAGTGCAAGTTAATCTTTTTGCCAATGCATAAGCTGGCACCCGACTCTTTTGCAGATGCCTACTTGAATTACTTTAATAGAGGGAAAATGAGACCCCTGGGGATATGAACATAACAACATAATGGACAGAGCCACAGGGAGCCTGCAAAGTAATTCTGAGGAGTGGTGCTCCTCTGCACACACCTCAGTGGAACACTCATGCAGAGAGCTGGTAATGACAACCTAGCTCTCAACAGCAGCAATTTCATTAGAAAAAAATGTCTACTAACGTGCTTATCCCTTATTAACAGATTCTGCAATACCACGTGATGGGAAAGCTGCTTTTGTAAAAAGCTAAGAACAATTCAAAATTCCTCACAGGCTTTTCAGTGCATCTTTCCCTGCAAGGAAGATGTATTTGTTGCTGCTTGCTTCTTGGGGACCAAAATAGCTGTAAAATTGACCATGCGTTGCAAGTAGAAAAAACTGTGTAACTGCCAGGCTGACAGTCCCCTCACTGTCCCTCTGCCATCTCACACAATGGCCCAAATTTGTGTTGCCCTACACACAGCATTAGAGACTATGGGTGTTATGTGCTATGTCTGTTCAATCTTTCACCAGCTGCCAGCAAAAAGCTAGTCCTGTTTCTCCATACCTTGCATGTACCTGTAAAACCTTGATGCTGTCTTCATGTCAGATGAGGTACTGACAGCTCCACGGAGATGTTGCATGCAGCTCAGCAGAGACTATAGGACCTGGCTCCAAAGAGATAGAAAAAGAGCACTCCTCCTCACAGTGCTATCACAGAGTGAAGTGACTGCCAGACAGAAGGGATGGTGTGCTCAGTTACAGCACAGACACGTGACACACAGGCACTCCCAAGGGTAGACCTTCTCCTTTACAGAAAACTCAGCTGGGTGAAGGATATACTGAAAACATCAAGATTTCCTCTGCACTACAGCTTAACTGCAAGTTCAGTCAGGATTTGATTCTCTCTATTGCCAGTCTTCACGTGCTGGCTCAGGCAGAACAGAGATGCGCAGTCTGGAAGAATCCAGCAGGCTCTGGACACAAGCAAACAAAGTAGTCTGGGAGAGGCACACCAGAAGACACTGTCTGCCCTTGGGACATCTTTGGCTCTTCTCAAACAAAGGATGGCAAGATGATTAAGCCTCTGTCTCATCCTGTCATGGATACTGTCAGCAGGGATGTGTAGACTGCAGAGCTTGTCAGGGTCACTTCTGCACTCCAGCCTGCAGCCTACCTCATTGTGCTGATGTGTATCTTAAGCAGGTTTATCATCTGCAAAGACCTATGGTAGGTGACTCCGTGTCAGTGATGCTGTAAGGGCCTCAACTCTAATTGCAAGAGCATTTCTGGCTGTTTCCAAACAAAAAAAGACTACTTACCTGCTGAGCTGTTTTACATTATTTTTGAGAATCCATGCTCCTAGACTAGAAATCAGTTTTTCAGCTGACATAGCTTCACTGAAGACATTACACATTTCGCTGTGAATTCAGTACATTAAAATCCTTGTTGCCTTTTGTTGTTTTGGGGTTTGTTTTTTTTGTTTTCTTTTTTCTCAGTGAAATACCCGTGTGGAAAAATACCAGTGCTGGCAAAAAAAAATTCAACTGTACATGGGAGAATAGTAGGTGGTTTCACCTGTCCTCCAGGTGAATGTCCATGGCAAGTGAGTTTTCAAAAATCTTTCATTGCTTTTATTTCTTAAATTTCCTTATGAAATCACTACACTAAATTAATTGTTTTAAATCTATGATGTTAAAAATTCATAAAAAGTGCCATTTCTTAATAACCAAACTCCTTCATCCATAGCCAGCAGATCCACCTGTTTCATGTAGGCACCTTAGCTTTGTTCTGGAGTACCTGTTTCATAGGAGTAGAGAGCACAGCTGTCTCTATCTCCTGACCCCTTAGTCCTCAACTTCACTGCCAGCAAGAATTTTAGTTGCAGCTTCCAGGGATATGCTTTGGGCCATAATATGCAGGGTCCATACTACAAGATGAAGAAAATTCCACAGGAAGACTTCCCTTGCTAAGTTCTTCATGCAGTCAGCATGGTATTGTTAAACACAGTTGCATAAAGGGACAGAAAGAAGCAATATGAAACCCATATCTACTGAGAGTTATGTCAAGCACATTTGATGAAAGACATAAATTTGCTTTATGTTGGCAGGCCCTGATAATACAGGATCAGAGAGAAAAGTGTGGTGGCACTCTGCTTTCCCCAGGGTGGGTGGTCACTGCAGCACACTGTTTGGAGCATACTCACCCTAAACAGCTTCGGGTGAGACTGGGTATGTATCTTCCCCTCCTCATCTTATCAAGGTGGTGGCAGCTTCTCAACCTGATAAAATCAGAATAGAAGGCTTTGGCAGTATAAGGTAATCGTCCTTAGAGGTGTCAGATTAGAAACATCCCACATCCTCAAACTTCCAAGGACTCAAGGAGCTACCTGATATGACCTGCAATTAATAACTTTTCCAGGTGAACACAAAATAAATGTTGATGAGAAAACTGAGCAAGAAAGTGGAGTTGCCAGGATGATCATTCACGAAGAATACAGGAATGGACATGTCAATAATGATATTGCCCTCTTGAAACTGGAAACACCCGTGAATCTCACAGACTATGTGGTACCAATATGTTTGCCTGAGAAAAGGTTTGCTGTGTATGAACTGTCCACCATCAAGTTCTCCACAGTAAGCGGATGGGGACGCCTAATAGATGGAGGTGCCACCTCTTCTGTTCTGATGAGAGTTGATTTGCCACGTGTAAAGACACAAGAATGTGAAAAGGAGACCGACTTAAATATCACAGAGAATATGTTCTGTGCAGGAGACCTGTCTGGGGTTAAGGATTCCTGCAAGGGAGACAGTGGTGGTCCTCATGCTACACGGTACAAGAACACTTGGTTTCTGACTGGGATTGTCAGCTGGGGAAAGGGCTGTGCTGTTGAAGGCAGCTATGGGGTTTACACAAGGGTATCCAAATACATCGACTGGTTGAGGAAGCACATGGACTAATGATGTTGAGCCACAGCATTTCCAGGCCGTGTTATTGCCCCCCAATCCCTCTATACCATTTTCCCACTGAAGTATTCCTTCATTATCTTAGATATTTGATACAGGCCATACACACAACACTATTAAGGATTTGAAGTGAGCCTAAGGCCTACTTGAATACATAAAATAACTTCCCTCTCAGTGTTGTTTGTAAACTTGTGTATCTTGTCAAGCAGGCAGAGGATGACCGTAACAAATCAGACACAATGTCCCTCCTGTTCTGCATCCATTTCTGCTGAAGATCAGAGCTACATGCTGAGAGAAAGACTGTCAGCAATACATCGTGCAGATCATAAGCCTTCCCCCAGCTACTCTCTCAACTTCTGGTATCAGTGAAGCACAGACTTCCTGAGCCAGAAGTTGCATTAGATTGAACAGTCATGAATGAATGTGTTGTCCCTAATTGGGTGCAATCTCCTTTGAACATATTTATGCTTCTGGCTTTCATAACTTCCTATGCTATGGATCCTGTAATATAATGATGAAATAGCAGAAACAAAAATAGAAAAGGTGCTTCTTTTAGATTATGTTAAAGCAGCTTTCCCCCACAGTTGCAGTGGCAACAGGGAGATTTGAAGTGGAGGAACTGCAGACACTCTCCAGGACAAGAAATCTGGGAAAAGGTTGATTCCATATTTACAGGTCTGCTATGAAAACTTGATTTAAATATTCTTACACCAAGCATTATTGCTGTAAGGCTAGTAAGTGCAATATTTAACCTTATAAGTGGTAAAGAATACCATTGATTTAATCTTATCTTTGCCTTGGCATTATGCATGTCAATAGAAAGAGTGCAAATGAAAGGGAATGTTTATCAGTTGTCCTGTATAATCTCAATTGTACTCTCTATCCTGAGATCTCAAACCAGGACAGGATAATTGTCTACCCCTCTGCAAAACACTGACCAAAGACCATTCACTAAAGTCTTAAGACATAAATGATAGAACCTGAAGCTCTCTGAAAACATATACAGTTCAAAAATGTACTTTCCAACCTTAGCATGAAAACACTGACAAGGTGAGGAAGATAAAACTGAACTAGGAGATTGGAAAACAGTTTAACTATCTCATGCAGAATTTACACTCTAGATTGTTCAAATAATGCAGAGTATCAATGCAATCACAAAAGCTTATCAGCAAGTAGGACACAATTGATCATACTCTATTATTGGGGGAAAACATTGTCATTGCATGGTACATACCATGCAATACTGAACATCCTGTAACCTGTTTTACCGACAGAGAAGGAAGTTTTACTGTTCATGTAGGCACTGAACTGAACTAGGAAAAGCAGCAAATTTCAGAGACCTGAAAAACAAGAGATGTTACAGTATATATGCATACATGCACTAGAGGTTCTCCGTGCTCCCAAAGACAGTCCAGTCTCAAGGAGCAAGTAAGCAGTGACCAGCAAATAAAGCCTCATTTTTATTTAGATGAGGTGCTCAGCACTGTAAAACCATCCCTGAGGAACCCTCAAGGTAGAATAGTTTCTGTTTACCATGATCCACAAGATGATTTCTCCTCTATAACATTCCAGTGAAAATACTGATATTTGTGAGCAAATCACCCCTCAGAAAAAAAGGGTAAAACACCAAAAGAAATCAATACTAATAACTGCCACACAAAATTACTTTTTCAAAACAAGTCTGCGTTTTAGATTTTTTATTTTTTTTTGTAATATAACAGCCTGCTTAGGAAAGCCACGAAGATGAAGGAGACCTGATGGCTGGCTCTGGAAGCACCGAGGACGTGGCACTGTGAACCCCCCCAAGGAAGGGGAGATTGAGGCCAGTTTCAGGCAGCGCCGGCCGAGGTCACTGGTGCGGAGCGCGGAGCCAGCAGGTCACAGTGCTGGATGTGGATGGGACACGGGGCTGGGAGCAGCCAGGAGAGCGGCTGCTGCGGGCTGGGAGCGCGGCTGTGCCCAGCGCCGGGGCCACGCCAGCTTATTGAGGGACGACTCACTTCCCTTCCTCCGAAACAAAAGGTGCAATTAAAAACAAAACAACCCCCACGCTGCCTTGGGCTTTGAAAAAATAAAGAACAAAAAGAAGATCAGCCTCATCCCCCCGATGAGAAATCCCGCCGCGGCTGTCACCCTGTCCCGGCGCTTCCGCTATTTCTGGGCAGGCTGAAGCTACGCGGCTTCAGTCTCACCCCGCCCGAGGGGGTGAAGACTTCGGCTCCCGTCCCTCCCGTCCCTCCCGTCCCATCCGTGCCGTGCCGTGCCGTGCCGTGCCGTGCCGTGCCGTGCCGTGCCGTGCCGTGCCGTGCCGCCGGCGCGGCCCCGGGAGCGGCATGGGCGGCGCTGCCATGGCCGGGCGCCTGCTGCCGCTGCTGCTGCTGCTCTGCGCCGCGCTGCCCGCCGGGCTCCGCGCTCAGGGAGGCGGTAAGGCGGCTCCTTTTCCATGTTTTCGGGACGGGGGAATCTCCCTTCCCAGCAGTGCTGGGGGCAGGCGGGGGCCTGCCGGGTGAGCGCCGCAGGCGGTGGCGGTCGATGCTGCGCGCACCGGGACAGTGCCAGGAGCCGCGGCGGGGAAGGGCGGGGAGCGGGCACCCCACGGCTCGCCTTCCCCGGCACGTTCGGTTTCCGCACGGCTGAGGGCTTATCGGCACCTGTGCCGACCCCGCACACCGCCGTAAAGCGGGGAGCTGAGCTTCGGGGGCCGGGAGCTGCTGCCGGCATCGCGGCGACCGTGTAGGAAAGTGGGGTTGCCCGCCGTTCGCAGCGGGAGGACAGCTGCCCTCGCAGCCTGGGCAGGTGCTCTCGTGTCTGAGGGAAGCGTGGCCAAGTCGTGGCTGGGTGCCCTTGGCCGTGGAGGAGCTGGGGCACAGCGGGGGAGCAGGTCCCGCTGCCTCTTGTGCCGCCAGTCAGCGCCCAAGTCCAAGGCAGCATCAGCAAATAACTTTTCAAAAGCTGTTAACTCTTCCTTCAGTGAGTCAGACTGCTTGGGGTTTAAAACAAGGTCTTTGGCATGTTTCTGGAATATCCTGCTTCGGTTGACCAATGCCTGTTGCTCCTTGATGTCTCTAAAGAAGAAAGTATGATAGAGAGCTTGGGAAGAAGAATGAGCAGCCCCAGAAAGAGGCTATTCAAGTTTGCAAAAACATCCGCTTAATTGAGTGGCGTGAAAGCAAAGGAATATAGAGGTGATAACCTCACCGGCTGTGTCCTGTCAGTTTCCTGTCGCTGAAGAAAGGGATTTGAGGGCAAATAAGATAGTGGGTGAATGAACTAACAGTCGCTGAGCTGCAAGTTAAAAGTACTTTCTGTAAGCCTTCCTTGAGAGGAGCCTTTTCAAAGTAAGTGGGGCCTCAAGTTATGCGAGGATTTGCTTAATATAAATAATACAAACAGAACTTGCCTCCCTGAGGATGATCCATCAATTTCAGTGAAAGCAGAATAAGTCTTCTCTGTACTCACTTGGAGGATATTAGGGTATATAATTACTTTTAGTGAGTTTATTTATCATGAAATTAAGAAGAATGCTCCAAAAGGAATGTGCAGTCCTCCCAGTGAGCATAAGTCATTGTCCTTGAAGTCACATCTGTAGCACATTCTTCCACACTCCAGCCTAAAAAATATTGGAAATATAAGAAATATTGGAAAGTATTTCCTCAGTGTAAATTCCAGGTGCTAGAACTTGATTAAATGCCAGCTTCCAAACTCTTCACACTTTCCTAGAACATATACTCTTTACAGGGTAATTTAGCAACTTCTTTTATCCCGGGAGGTCATTCTTCCCTGTATGTGGCACTCAGTGCTGTGGTTTAGTGGAGGTGTTAGGACATGGGTTTGACTCGATCTTGGAGCTCTCTTCCAACCTAGTGATTCTGTGATTCTGTAATCTCCCCAGCATTCAGGGGAAGTCATTCCATTCAAGACTGAATCTTGAGCAGGAGCAGCAGAAATACAAGCCCTCACTGGCAACCTTTTCAAGATTAAAAAGAGTAGGAGAGAATTTTGGGGTCCTACATTTGTTCTGAGGCTACTGATTCTCAGAGAGACTCCTCTGAGAGATCTTGGGATGTATCAGCCTGTGTGAGGACTAACCTCACAGGTAATGTGTACAGGTAGTGTGGTCTGTTTTGGCTTTGCTTCTACTTCACTCATTTGTCGTGACTCCTTTCCATCACCAAATGTTACCGACCCGTATAATTTTTCTCTGCTATCTAGTATTCATCAAGAAAGAAAATGCCGACAAGTTCTTGGAAAGAACAAAACGTGCTAACTCTTTCTTAGAGGAATTGAAGAAAGGGAATATTGAAAGAGAATGCAATGAGGAGCGCTGCTCAAAAGAAGAAGCAAGAGAAGCTTTTGAAGACCAGGAGAAAACTGTAAGGATGAACTAATATGAAACATAGGTCTATATATTTCATGTTTAAAAATTACTATTCATCAGATAGTAATTGTCAAGCTGGGCATCAAAACTCACTAGTTGTTCCCAATCACTTAACACAGAGAACAAATAGTGATTGACTGGGAGTGGAATTGCTAAGGCAATAATCATCCCATAACAGTCTTAATTGAGCTCCTGCATGGCCAACCCAGATTAAATCCTCCATTCTTTTACCTGTTCTGATCTGTTTAATTGCCATTGAAAGTTATTTGATGTTCAATGGCTCTGCTGATATCAGTGTTGAAAATACGTTCACCCTATCTGGATTACATCCCTAAGTGCCATGACTGTGGTCAAGGCAGTCCACAGGAAGGCTGAGAAGGCAAATGCTGACCTGGAACCTCATGAGGGAATTTTACTGAACTTATCTCAAGCAGCTTTGCTTGTAATTTTGTAGCTCTCTTTATCTGAATTGAGAGAATGTATACTGTGAACAGTTCATAAATGCCTTAATGTTGACTGGAATGAAGTTTGTTTGACTCTTGTGTCACCTGCCCTACCCCAATGGCTTGCTTAACTTTAGACAGAAGTGTGATTTGTTCCCAAGCTGAAGGGAAAGTTAAAGAGATGGGGCAGCTGTGTGGACTGTAAGTAGAAAAGGTGGTATTGCAAACATAGACTGTAGTTATATGGCTGTTTAGAACTACCCTGGAACGGGACCTAAGGCCAGATTCACTTCCCTTTAGAATTATTTGATGTCCAGAATGTTCTTGGAGTGGCCCTGAGGTGTCCTGGGTGGGGAGTCCTGGGTGCATCACCAGTGTGCTTCAGATGATAAATGTTGATTTACCTATAGCAGAACCGGCACAGCCTGTTCTGCCTGGTGACCAGATGTCACTGGAAAGGACTGTCTTGCACAGCCAGCATCCTGGAGTCCTCAGTGCATATGGACAGGAGAACACAAATCAGACAAAATATTTTTAAATGTCAGGATTTGTGAGGTCCTGATTGATGGGAGTATGGGGTGGGGATCAAGACTGAGAATTTGGCATTATGGGAATATAAGTAAATGCAGTCAAAACTGGTGGAAAGATAATTATGCAAGAAACCAAGAGGCTTATGCTGAATGGTCATGCTGGAGAAACTCTAAGGAGGGTCAGATGTTTCTGAAAAATTCACAAGACTTGTTTCTGTAGATCTGGGCACCATATGGATCATATGGTTTTAAGTTATTAAATGGTAATAGTGGGCTGCTAGGCATTGTATGTATCTATAATGTAAATATTTCCGTTAACAATTGTTAGCTGCAAGTATGCTGTGTATGAAAATTCTAATATTTTTCTGAGGAATTTAGTAATTCTTCTCTAACTTTATTTCTTTTTCTTCTTCATTTTCCACACTTACTTGTAGGAGGAATTCTGGAACATCTATGTAGGTAAGAAACACCTTGTGTTTATTTAGAAGATTAAGCTTCTTTATTGCAAGGTTTGAAAGGGTGCACCTCTTGAGTAACCTCTTCCTGCTCCCTTGCTTCCTCTCTTTTCACTCTGGGACACCCTCATGTTGTGTTTCCTCTGAAAAAGCAATCTGATTTACTGCCTGCCATTGACTGAGCCCAATTGCTTCATTTGAAGGCAAGGTTCAGCTGTCTCCAGTTGCTGGACTGACCTTTGTCCTCTCAAAAAAATAACAGTGGTCCTTTGCACACAAGGGACAGTGAGGAGCAGAAACTGTGTGTGGGACTGCCAAATAGTTTTCCTTCAGAGGGGCAGCTCCAGATACGAGAATTCAATATGCAAAGAGTCACAGATGAGAGTGTTTCTTAAATGCCATAACCAACACGAAGTTTAATTACATTGCATAGTCATTTGCCAGTTTCTTTCCTTCCATGCCAAAGTGTTGTTGATTCCTGTCTTAAAGAGCATTTTTTAAGTTGTGTTTTTTACAGAACTGCTTGGCATTCAAGGGAAATATGCCAGTGGATCCAATATGCCAGTAGATACTACCTAACAGTTTTCTGGTTTTTTATCTAAATATGTGAGTTTTATTTATTAGGGTTCTAGTGTTTGTAAGCACTGTGCAAGGACAGATTTTTAATGTATTAGTGTTTGATAACATGTTCTCCCAAAAGTATATGTCCAGTTTGCACACTAGGAGGAGTGCCTCAAAAATGTTGACCAAAGACAGCTCAGCTTTGTCTTTTGGAATCTGCAGAAAAATGAAAACAGTTGCCATGAAGAAGACACAGACTTTCACAATCCTCTAAGCACAGGATGAACTCTGCAACCTACAGACTAAGATTTCAAGCAAATCCTGTGTCAGTGTTACAGTAAAGAGGGTTGGAATATTTCAAACCATTTTCTAATGAGAATACAAGCAGCAGAATATCAGTGCCAATGCTCTTAGGAGAAGTGTTACTTTTCATACATTTTAAACCACAGTCCACAAATGCTTTATGAGTGTTCAGAAGTATTGAAACCCACAGCTATGTTCAGCCAAGTTACTAGAACAATTTATTCTTGCTTCTTATTTTAGTAGGGGATTCTGCAATTTGTGCAATATTGATATAAAACTCATTACCACAGATGCAACTACAGTGTAGGGTAGGAGCTAAATAAGTATGTTTTCTAACAATAGGATGCTGCTTAGCTAAGACCACTACAGAACAGAGTGCTATGGCACTGCAGAGGAGGCAGAAACCAGAAGTTATGATGTAGGCCTTCAGTCTGTCTTTTTTTGGTTAATGCTGGTCTTGTCTTCCCTCTGTTAAGCATGGACATCAGTTTTCAGAGCCTCCATGGCTGGAGCATTTGGAGAGCTCTTGGTTTTGGCCCCATACAGTTAGAAAATATATCTTGATGTGTGGGTACACAAAGCCCAGCAGCTGTTTCCCATGACAGGCAAAGCTGCGGCAGATGAGGTTATGGTCCAGAAATACCACACAGGGAGCATGCTGGATCCTTAGGATTAGTAGCTTCTTGCAGGTTGTTTCCGCTGTGGACATTGCTGTTTCAGCTGCTCCAAAGAAGGGCAGAACAAATGGAAAAATAGGGGGTAAGAGCATATTATCTAAAGCAGCAAATTATCAAGTGTCACTTTTCTGGATATCTTGAATTTTGTATGAAACAGAGCAAAAACTATGGGGAAATGCAAGGGGCCAGAAGTTCAGTATTTTTGGCAGTAATTGCAATGTCCTGTCAACTCTTAGAGACTTTGCTGTATGTATATTCTGACAACAATAATAATACCAAAGAATATTCTGGGTTGGAAGGACCCACAAAGATTATGGAGTCATTGACCATTCATAAATGAATGGCCCATACAGGGATCAAATGTGCAGCCCTGTCCATATTAGCACCATGCTTTAACCAACCGAGATAACTTCTTTACCTTCCCACAAAAAAAAGCTTGTGTGCACATCGTAATACAGTGGGCAACAAAAAGAGATTGCAAAACTGAGGATATGTAGATGAATCATTGCAGGTTTGGAAAGATTACATTTATACTGTTTGTTCCATCTGGAATGTGGCAACTCACAGCACTTGCACGTGCTTGGATGGTTATCAAGGCAGGAACTGTGAATTTGGTAAGTTTCTGCTTTAGAGAACCGTGGCGGCGAACTTGTAAGGAAGGATGTTTTGCATGGAAATCCTTCCTGGGGCTCACTTCTGTGGCATAGAGCTGCCCCCGTGACCTTGCCAAGGGAGGGGGTATCATTAGCCCAAGAAGTAAGAGCAGGAGTGTGAAACTCCAGGAGGTTCAGTCAGGGGATCAAGGGGAGTGATGAGGAGTTGGAGTTTTTAGGGCAGGAGGGAGGAATTGTGTGAGGATTTCCACAATTATGTTCTCTGTTAGTGTTTTGTTCATTGCTCCCCTGACAATTTGTCTCTGCTTTTTGAGCTCACCATGCCATGGCCACTGGGCCCACTCGGACTTGGCAAGTACGTTTGTTGTGCTGGATGTGGCTGCTTTGTAAGGCAGAAGCTGATGTTCAGCACTGACATTAGTTATTCCTGCAGGGTGCTTCGGGTGCTTGGCAGGTGGGGATACAGTTCTTGTTTACGGAGTGTTTTCTGTTTCAGAGAATTCCAGATCTTCTGTGAAGTCAGTGTTTATGTACAGTTTTTCTGCCCCCATCTCTTTTGTAGTCATACCAAAGTTCTGCAGGATAAACAACGGGGACTGTGAGCAGTTCTGCAGCGTCCGAAGAGATGGGCGGAAGGATGTGTTGTGTTCCTGTGCAGATGGGTACCTTCTAGCAGAGGATGGCAGACACTGTGTTGCAACAGGTACCAAGCCATGTGATAAAGCAATAGCAGTGGTGGTGAGACTTGTTTCACAGTAAAACTTTACAGTTACAGTCTTGGTTTACAGTAGAGGAATGTCTTTTGAACCACCAGTATCCTATATGGCATAGACCCAACAGTGAGGCCAGGAGGTTTGTATTTCCAAAGCCTTCCATTTGTGAGGTGCTGTGGTGGAGTGGATCAAAATCTAGGTGATTTTGAGACCTTTGCAAGGTGCTTCTCAGCAAATTACCACAGTAAATTCCACTGTTGCCAAGAGAAAAGTAATTGCATTAATAACTCATTTTCTTAAATACTTACCCACCACATAAATTAGCAGTCTGCAAAACTTTTCTTTTCAAAACCTTTTTATAGAAAGAGAAAACATTAAGTAATTACAATTAGTGCTACTTACTCATGTACATTGTAGCACTTTTATAAAAAGAAAAGTCATAGGTTGTCAAACATGTGCTCATGGTGTTGTCTTTATATCGTTTAAAAAAATAACAAATAGCTCTCATGACCCATATTACTTATCTCTGTTTTATTGTAATTTCCAAGAAGTTTTGTCTTAGCCTGGTGTTTCTCTCCATCATCAATTTTAGCACTCTTCTCTTTACAGTAAAATACCCTTGTGGAAAAGTTTCTGTGGTA